GGGTCCCGGGCCGGGCGGGAGGCGGGGGAGGTGCCCAACTCCCTGCTGTGGGTGTACATGGCTCCGTCCGTGGCCGGCCCCGCTGCAGGAGACGCTAAGCGAGTCTCGAGATGCGGTTCCGAAGAGCAGGGGCAGCGGTTTTAACAGCTGAGTTTCGATTTCTTGCTACCAGCTGCAAACTGCGCCCGCCCCGGGGATTTCCTTCCCATTTCGTGCTCCAGTCTGGCACCCCCAACCTTACTTATCACAGGTACCAGCTCTGGCCGCGCCCGCCCCGGTGCTGAGTTGAGCTGACTTGGCCTCTACGGGGGAGTCTGGTTAAAGTCTCACAACCAACCTGAGAGGATAATAAAGGTAACTCTTCTGTGAGTGAGTAGCCGCAAGGTGGCTAGAATCCTGAGAGATACTTGAGGGACTGTTGAACAGGTAACCCTAATTTGAGGTTACTGCTGGGTATTTGAGACTGCAGACCTTCAGATGCCGGAGATTAGGCCAATATTTACAATCATCTAAGCAAAGATTTGCCTGTATCAGTGATGGCTGCTCTTTGGTTGTTGTGCAAGTACTTGGAAGTTAAAGGAAATGGAAACTGAAATCAAAAGCAGAGAAAACACACAACGGGAAAAGCAAGCTGAGGGGTAGGGCAGAGATGATTCTCCAGGCAAGCTTGCTAAGTAATTGATTAGACGTCAGTAAATGTTGATTCGCTACCTGCTCTGTGCAAGACATTGTGCAGTGATTCAACTACGGTGTGGGGATTTTTTAAAATATGGATTTGCAAGATTCTGCACCTATGGACATTGAGGCATTTTTACAAAGCTCTCAGAGAATTCTGATGTGTGCTGGATTGATCACCCTGGTCATAAAGCTGGCTATACACAGATGAGCGGAGGCTCTTCCCTCACATAACCTGTATTCTAGGGACAGGTAAACAGAAGCGAATGCCACCAGGGGACAAGTGAAATAACAAGAGGATGTGGTGAAGCTAGTGAGCGCTCAAAGAAACTGGGGATTAGCCTGAGTAATTCAAGAAAAAGGGACATTTGAGAATGAGCCATGAAAGACATAGGAGTTCACCAGGAAAGAGACACAATGGCAGAGGTTTGTGGCTTAAAATGGCAGGATGTATACCTAACTCCACGTGGGGTAGTGTAGCTGGAGCACCACAGCCCAGCCTGCAAGCCATTCAGGAGCTGGATTGCCTTATTATATTGTGGTGCTTAGAATAGAAATACATGTTTGACAGCTGGTGACAGAATGAAATTGAAGCACAGGCAGGGTAAATGTATGGGTAGGACAGGAGGAGAGAAGGTAGTGGCAAGGAACAGGGGGCAGGGCAGGGGGCGGGGTGGTAGGAAGGGAGGGAGGAAGTCAAAGGTTTGCATGGCACCTAAGGCATTAGAGCTCTATCAAGTAGGCCAGGGGTTCTCAAACTTTTACAAGCATCAGAACCACCTGGAGAATGTGTTGTAACAGACTTCTGGGCCCTAACCCTTGAGTTTTTGATTCAATAGGTTTGGGATGAGGCCCAAGGATTTGCATTTCTAACAAGATTCCAGGGGATGCTGCTGGTGCCAGGACTGCCTTTAAGACCATTGCTATAGGCAATGTGGAAGACAGGGAAGGTTTTCAATGGGGCAGTTATGTAATACAGTGGGGCCTTGACTTACGAGTGTCCCGACTAATGAGTTTTTCGAGATACGAGCCGTCTTTTTTGCTTTGAGTTGCGAGCTAAAATTCGGGTTACGAGCCAGCTTCGGATACCCCACCGCTAGTTGGTGCAGTGAACGTCACAGTGAACGCCACAACATCAGCCCAGCATCACGTGTCTCACTCGTTCACTTTTTGATTTGACATACGAGTAATTTGAGTTACGAGCTCCGTCACGGAACGAATTAAACTTGGAAGTCAAGACCCCACTGTAATATCTATCTGCTAACAATGTAAAAGGGAGAATGAAACTAAAACTGAAATCTGGGAGATAAATAAAGAGCCCAGTTATTATAATCTAGGTAATAAAAATACAGGTCTGAGCTAAGGGAAATAGAAAGAAGGGGGCAAAATCAAGACATTCCCAGCAAAAAATTAACACAATTAAATAAAAAAAAAAGAAAAGAAGAAGAAAAAAATAGATGCAAAGGAGAACTGAGCAACAGAGGCCAGAGGGAAGGGGAGACCATTTGTACAGTACTTTGACCCAGCTTTGCCACATCCTAGACACATGACCAAAGCTACGTCTCTTAATTTCTCAGAGGCCCAGTTTCCACATTTCTATAATGTGGAATGAAGTTACAATACTTCCTTTGTTGGGTATTGTGAGGAATAAAGACACAATCCACATTAGTGGTTCTCAAATAGAGTTTATTTTGTCTCCAGCAGACATTTGACAGTGCCTGGAAGCATTTTCTATCCTGAAGCCTAGAAGGGATTGGAGGTCAGGCTGCTTCACTCACTCTACTTCCCCATTCACCCTACTTCTTTCCTCAGCCATTGCTGTATATTGCTCCCCCCAGCCCCGGCCCCCCAAGAACCCTGGTAAAAGGCTAGCCCGTGCTCTCACATCAATGCACACACCACATGAGAGAATGGGTGAGTGATATATAAGTGGGTAACTTTCCAGCAGCCTAGAGGAGACTGCTGGGAATGCTGTGAAACACCCACAATGCATAGGGCAGCCCCCACAACAGAGAATCATCCTGCCGCAAACATCAATAGTGCTGAAGTGAAAAATTCTGATTGACAGACAATATGCCTATATTAGAGCCCCTGTAATTTAATGGTGCTGTTTTTATGGCACCTTTAAAGTTTTAGTTTTGTGAATGGATCGTTGGCAAAACCAAGAGGAGGGACAGATTTTGAGTGAAGGTGAAAGAGTTTGGTTTGGAAACTGTTGGGTTAGAGGTGCCTGCAGGGTGAGAAATGTAAAAAAACTGGATCTGGGTGGTCTTTCCGGAGGCCATCTTCAAAATCTTTACCCCTGGGAAAACACCACTGGAAGTTTTGTTTCAGAGGAGAAAACAATTGTTTTAGTGGTTGGATTAAATTAAAAGTACCAGGAAGGGAAAACCCAAATTAAGGGAAAACCATTCATATTAAAGGAGTTAGTAATAGCATTACTGACTTCAGGAATACACTTAGTTGTCCATATTTATCTTACAACACAACCATGTAATACACCAAACTTGAAAACATAAGATAGAAATAGAGAGTAATAGGCAAAATCTAAGTTGCTTATTCTGTTCACATCTCCTTTCACTACATTCTCAAAGTGATAAAAAATGTGAATGTGATTAATTATTGCAATAGGCATCTAAAGTCTCCTTTAGGCTGCTGGAAAGTTGCCTACTTATATATCACTCACCCATTCTCTCACATGGTGTGCATTTATGTGAGAGCACGGGCTGGCCTTTTTACCAGGGTTGTTGGGCGGGGCACGGGGGAGGTACTATACAGCAATGGCTGGAGAAAGAAGTAGGGTGAGTGGGGAAGGTTCTAGATTCCCACCCCTGTTTCCACCAAAGTACTTTAATCTGAATCTCCTCTATCAACTGGACTGCTGCCTGGTTTTGTTTAAAGCAGGAGTAGCATGGCTTCACAAGTTTGAAGAACCACTGTAGCAGATTATTGCCTATATGTTATATGGGATATGAGAAACACCTGTAATCCAGTGAGATTGTTAAATTGCCTGAAATTTGGCCAATTGGAGATTAGTTTAGGAAATGGTTTTCTTTTAAGTTATAACTACCTCTAGGAATTAATCATGTATTCATTCCTTTAGGTAAAAGAGTGTAATCTGAGCAAAAACAATTTGGTTAAGGAAGAGGGAAGCTGAGTGAAAAGAAAAGGATTCAAAGCCTGGCCAATGTGGTGCAGTGGTTGAGCATCAATCCATGAACCAAGAGTTCACTGGTTCAATTCCTGGTCAGGGCACATGCCCAGGTTGCAGGCTCCATCCCTCATCGATATTTCTCTCTATGTGTTTCCTTTCATCTCTCTCTAAAATTCAATAAAAACATTTTTTTAAAGAAAATGATTTTAAAAGATGTGCAAAGGAAAGTGTAAAATGAGACATTGATGGAAAATGGCTACAATGTATTCAGGACTACAATGACCAATTTCAGATAGCCCAGTGAGCTAAGCTAAAATAAAAATAAATAAATAAATAACAAACAAAACAAAAACAAACAAAAAAAACTTTTATCAGTTTGGTCTAAGGTTAACATATCCAAGTGTGTCTTATCTTCCAAGGAAGTAAATGTATATTATTTGCCTTAAATTACTCCTTCATTAGTATGAATGAAGTATCTCAATGAAAACAGTTTCTGAGAATTCTAAGTCATGCCTCCTTAAATTTGATTCTGCAGTGAAAAGTTAGACTAATCCAGTAGATTAAGGATAGCAGTTATTTTAAAGCTTTTTTTCCTCTTCTAACAAAGGAGTAATGTAAAATTCCCCTAATACTTGACATCGTCTAATTTTAAGTGTTTGTGTATGTGTGTGTGTGTGTGTGTGTGTGCATATTTGTATCTTGAAATTTTCATATTCTTTAGAAATTCTTCAAATTCATAACATAAAACCTTGGGATACTATAACTATAAGTCACCTTAAATTCATACAAGAAATATTTAGTGAATGATAAGCACATGCCACTCACTCTTTCAAACCCTATAGCCAAAATGGGAAACAGGCAGAACCTGGTTATTTTAAATCCATGTTTAAGTTCATCTAGCTACTCATCTTAGACATGGTAAATCAGAAACTTATCAGTCAAGTGACTTGCCAGCATTGTCTAACAAATTAGTGGCAGAACCAGAACTTGAATTTAGGTCTGAGTCCAAATTCACATTTTGAAAGATGATTTTGACAAATATATTTTTTATAAAATTCAGGATTTGGAATGCTTTTCATTTATTACAAGTTTCACAATGAGCAGCCATGTATTATTTTCCAAAACAGTATGTCGAAGTTTCTAAACCTATCGAATCAACATTAACATTCCAATATTCTTCTCCATAATTACATGATCAAATGATTTTGTCAAATTTTCATAAATAGCGAACACTAATTTGGTTAGAATTTTTTTCTTTAATAGTGCTAAAATAGTAAACTTTATAGCATTGGATAAAGAATTCTACTTAAGATGTCCATTTGTTCCCTCTATTTTTCTGATGACAATGTGTACTGTCACTTGGGGACATGAGGAATGTAGAAATGTGCTTCCAATGATACTTCCTATCCTCTGGAAGGTGACTCAATCTCTGTTTGTAAATTCACATCTGAGGAATAGATAGATGCTTCCATCTCTGGGTTCTAGCACTGCGGAGTTGCTGTCACAGATCTCTGCTGGCTGCAGGGATGAAAGAAATTTCCCTTGAGTTTGGAAAAACTTCTGAAGACTGTCAGATTCCCCTGAATGGTTTCTTTAGCGGTGATAAATGAGTCAAACAGAAACTCTCCACAGTGCTGCTCATGTTTTACCCAACCACTATGCCTTTTCCAAAAATTCCCCTCTTAGGGAACTCCTAATTGTTCTGATGTTTTATCTCTAAGCCAACTCTTTTGTGAGCATTCAGTCTTTTCTAAATGTCACCAGGTATGTAAGAGAATATGTGGTGCAGAAGGAAAAGGTAGACCTGACCTTGAGCCCTGGAAGAGCCATTTAAGAGTTTTGTGAGCTCAGGCAACCACTGAAACTCTCTGAGCTTTGGTGGCTTCATTTGTGAGATGGA